AAATCAAAGCTAAGATACAAAATAATGAAATAATTCAAAGGCCTTTCCAAGAGAAATTATGACAAAATAAACGATTTATTATGATCCAATGTGTAGTAAACAAAACCTATATGAGGACAAAAAGAAGGTTGAAAGTGTAAAATAGTATTTTTATTAAACCATAGAGTTCTAATTCTAATCCTAATACTTATATCAATAACTCAGAAATTTTTTTATTTTAAAAAAAGATTTAAAAGATCATATATTATTAATTTAGTAATTGTTTTAAATTTAAGCAATGATAATTTAAATTAAATATAATCTCACTTATATTTCTCTTTTGTCGTTCTTTGATTGGATTGTCAAAACAATTCTATCGAATTCAAGGTAAGTTACACTTCTTCTTATAAACTACCGTAATACTAAACTGCGCCTTTCTAAACTAATAAATAAGTTACAAAGTAGACAAAGTTGATAAAATTTTCGTGTATAATTTTCAAGACAATCGACGCAGTAATGCGACTAATGAGGCGCGACAAAATTTAACAGTCCATCATTACAGACAATAGGATTAGGAAGCTTAATTAAAGGTTTGGATGTTTGCAATAGTACTTTCAAGGTGATCGCTAGCATTTCCGGCTTCTTCAATAACCTGTCTAGCTTTGCCTGGCTTTCTACTCGGAAATTCGTTGATTTAATAATTAATAGTTAAGATGCCATATGGATAAAATTATTTATAACTGTAAAGGAGGATTTGTTTGATTTTCAGATCGATTTAAATCAGAATAAAAAATCGTTTATTTTGTCATAATTTCTCTTGGAAAGGCCTTTGAATTATTTCATTATTTTGTATCTTAGCTTTGATTTCGGTACAATTCCGTATTCAATCCTGAATTTATGTGGCATATGACCTCGCAAAATATAAGAAGAGTGAAATAAAACTAAAACATAAACGAAAAAGTATTTCTCATATTATCATATCCAATCACTTCGCCAAAAAGTCCAATATACGGTATGATAACCCTACTGACAATCCTATAGATGAAGCACAGGAAATCGAGAAATCTCGTTTCCCTGCCTCGAAAAACAAAGAATATTTCTAAGAATCCGTGATTGGGAAAGGAAGGACCAATTATTACTGGATAATAATCTCTTCAAAATATTTTTTTTATCTATATGCACATGTTTCCTTTATATAAAAGCTTGAAAATCAAATTGCGTTTCAAGTATTTGAAAGTTTTTTTTAAAACGATATCAATTAAAGTGTGTGTTTTTTTAACAGAACATTGCTATAACATCATATGAATGTCGATCTGTTGTGTGACAACAATGTTTGGTAATAAATTGCATGCCTAACCCAAAAAAAATCAATTTTAAGGGAATATCGCAAGCTCCTTATTTAACAAACAATAACATCAATCATCTGACCGGAGATCTATGTGACTCTCTCCGGAATTTTTTCTTAAAAAAGTCCACGAAATTTTTTTGATTTTTATTTTTATTTTAATTTTTTTCTTTTTTCTTTTTCTTTTCTTTGTTTTAAACCATAAAAAAAATAAAAATAATAATTATATTAAATTATGGCCTCACCAAATGCAATAATTCTTGCAGCTGCCATGTCGGCGGTATCAAAAAATCAAGTTATAACCCTTCAAGATTATATAAATCGTAAATCAGGAAACGTTAAATACAAAGAATTGGACACGGACGCACTACATCAATCTCATTTAGTTGGTGGGCCAGTTCCAAATAACGATAATACTCAAAATTTACCACAAGGAAGTCCTGACAATGGTGATGAAATGATCATCTCGATTAAACCTTTGAGCGGCAAAGCCTTCAAGATAAAAGTGAAACCGACAACCACCATCTATCAAGTTAAACAAAAAGTTCAAGATGAACAAGGAATACTTCCCGAATCGCAACGTCTTTTATTTCAAGGGTATTTATTAGATGATGGCAGGAGTGTGATTAGTTACGAGATTCTAGAGAATGCGGAGGTATTTCTGATCTTGAGACAAAGAGGGGGTGATGAAATTTTTTATATTCATTCGGATCATCTCGACCCTCCATTTGATTTTGATTTTACTGAAATACGTGACAAAGGTAAAACGTATATGAGAGGTGGAATTGAATATAAGCGACCTTACGGTTGGAAACGTATCGCACTTAAAGTACTCAATAAGTATGGTGACAATGTTTGGCTTGGAATGCGTTCTAAACGTGGTGGTACAGATTCTGTTCAAAATGAATGGCCCGTATCATATCATGGAACTTCTCGTCATAATAATAATACAATTGCCGAAGATGGTTTTAATTATGGTAGAAATAGAAATTTCAATTTCTCTCATGGAATTTATTCCATTCCTGATGTAAATGTTGCCATCAAGTATGCAACTAAATTTGTTCATAATGGTCAGAATTACGCCGTTTTATTTCAAAATCGTGTGAATCCTAATACTTTGCAAAGAATTACCGCTCAAGAAACTGGTTCTGGTGAATATTGGATTTCTCCTAATGGTGGTGATGTTAGATCTTATGGAATTTGTATTAAGAAAATTTAGATTTTCTATACAACAAATTTTTGATTCATGATGATTATGATGTTTTTTTTTTTTTTTAACATTTTGTCATTTCATTATTTTTTTTCTTTCTAAAAATAAAAGATTTTTTTTTAAAAAAAAAAAAAAAATTAAGAGCGTGAAAAATAATTCGCAAAAAAATTGTTACGTATGGAGATGCAAATATTCTCACTTGGACCAGTGAAAACAGGCTATATGGAGAGTGAAAGTTGTAGTGGTGCAAAACATGATTGAACATTCTTATAAAATGTTAAGCATGGTATTAGTCATAATTATTAATGTATATCCCGTCTTCTTGGTTCATATATAACTTTAGATTAGAGAATTCCTAAAAAAGACGCAATGAAAAATATATTTATTTTTTTTTTTTTTTTATATATATAAAAAAAAGCAAACGCCAATATGATTTGGCGATTTGTTATTATTTTTATTCACAAATTTGCGATAATTAATAAATTTACAAATTAACTTTACTTGGGAATGGATATAAAGGATATTTCTTATTGGGTTATCTCGAACGTCTCATAAATCCAAGAAATCATAACAACGAATAATAAATAAAGGTTGTTGAGACATTTTCTGGTACACTTTATTTTAATGGCAAAGATTTCCCATAAAACATTGCATTTTGATTACAACTCTAATAACGAACCATTTGAAAGTTCAAAAAAGATACGGTATAAATCTTTTTCTGTTGCTAAAATAAACATCCCATTCTTTATCGAAATGCCTTTTCATCATTTCTTCTTCGCAAGTAATTCGTTTATAATGCATAACACCCGCAAAGATGATTTGAAACGCGATAAGCCACAAACTTAATAAGATATCACTCCAGTAAGATGACAAATAAATAGGAGCATAATTAGAACATAATTGATAATATAACAAATAAAGATTAATCGACATCAACGCGGTGCCCGTATACTGTTGTTAAGTTCAAAGTTTTTTAGCGAATTGAATGGGTTACTCTTTTTTTTTTTTTTTTTTTTTTAAAAAAAAAAAAGAGAAATATACTTACTGAAGGATGAATTAATAAAGAATATGGACCTGTAGTGACTAATTTATGATCTTTTTTAATGGTAACAAAGGAAAAGTATTCCTTTAAAGAAAGAATCAAAGCACCATAATCGTAATAAAGCTCCTCCAATACTACACAAGAAACGATTTCCAATAAACTCCAATCGGAAAATTGATGTAAAGTTGGAATCGAACCAACATCTTGTTGATACATTATATAAATATAAAGTGATGATAGAGTTACACTGAAAAAAACGAAAAATCCGGGAAGGATAAAAGACATATAAATTCCAGGTAACCCTTCTGATAAAAATTTCTTGGTATCTAATTTGTTCAAATGTGATTTTGGAGGGAATAATGCTCTAAGGATCATATAATTTTGAATAATGAGTGAAATGACCTTTGTATACATCTTGGAATTTATTTAAAATAAAAAAAATATATATATATTTTAAGCAACTATTCGTTGGGGAAATTTTTAAATATTTAAAAACAAAAAAACAACACTTTTAAGTGTACACGATAGATCGTGCCACTTTTGAGGTAATTTCATCATTTTTCACGTGACTTTATATTGTATTTACCATTTAAATAAAGAATCCCTCTTTTGTTTTTACAAAAATGGATACGGCATTGGGAGATTATCGAAGGATTCTAATTATCAAATTTATTTTCGAAAAATTTTGCAATCAATGTAGTATAACTTTTGGTAGAAATTTTTGAGGAGGGTGATTTGGATTTAAATCAATATTGACAAGGATTCTTCCAAATTTATCAAGGATAGCATTAATTTATATATGGTTAACAATCTCAGGAGTTAAAGAATTTTGGATGATGGACGCAGTTCGCTTTCAAGAAAATGTTAAATTTATAATAATCAATAAATTAAAATTTTTATATTTTTACTTATATAAAATTTTATTTGCATTTTTTGACGTGTCAAATTATTTAATTATTTTTCTAGCACCTTTTATATTACCGCAGTTCTTTCTTTGATGCCTATAAAGCGACATTCAAGCATCTGGCGAAGCGGTAATAACCCGCGCCAATCTGATGTAATTAAAAATAACGAAACAGGTCGAATATTTGCGGAGGAAAGATTCGAAAATTTGAGTCAAATTTCGAGATTTTCCGGCAGCATGGTGATTGGTTAGGATTTCTTGAAACAACCAAAGAAGAATTCTATATTTACGAGGTCCTGCAAAAAAGACTTTCAGTTTTATTAAGCAATTAAGGAGCAGAAGTTACTGTCTTTTTCGCTATATAAAACCGTAGAGGGGCTAAAAGATTTATTACGTGAATATAAAGTTAAAGGGATAACATTACTAGTATAAAACAATTCAATCCAAGTAAGTTTTGCTACAAGTAGCTACAGGGTGGTTGCAATCTTTTTCTGTTTATGAGTTTTATACGCTATAAATTACGATGACGACGAAGCCCTCATACAATGTATTGCAGAAATTACATTACGACTTGCAACTCGATTAACATTTCGGGATGGAATAGATCTCACGAAAAGGGAACCATGAAAATTTATGGGATAATATAAAACGAATAATTAGCATAATTGCGGGATTATTAAAAGATCGAGTAATGGGCATGTGATAAACCCGAAAGCAAAAGGCATCGTGTGTAAGAAATATAAAAAAATAGACAGCTAACTCTGTTTCATGTTTTTATCCTGTATTTATAGAACTTGATCTGTGCGCGTTGTGTCATTATTAAAGAATTTTAGCCAGAAGACTATACAAATATGGGCCCATATATCAAGATTTATTTTTATATAGTGTCACGTGTATAAAGATGCGTGAGTGGTTATGGAAAAAGTAAAAATGGAAATGTTTCCAAATTTTACGGTATATTTACTTGAAAACCAGGAAAATGTTGGTTTGCTTTCCAATGAACAGATGAAGTTGCATTTTTAAATAAAGATAATTCTAAATCGCCAACTAAAGAAATTCCCAATTCCCATTCTGTGGTGCCCATCTAAAAAATTTTAGATAAATGTCACGTGCTATACCGTCACCAAATCTTAAAAATTTTTTCAGATCGCAAATTTTTTTTTTTAAAAAAAAAAAATTGTTCCTTTCGTCTAGTTCGAATTAATTATGACCCGATCAAATCGAAAAAGAAAATCAAATCCCATTAATAAACATTCCGTAAATAATAATGTACGAAAATTTTTACTTGCTATTCTCTCTATTCTTTCATTTTTATATTTTCTTCAAACTAATCAAATTCATATCTAAAAATATAAAATTCAATTTAAATTTTATAAGGTCAATAATAATTCGAAAGTGAATAATAATAATGATGGTGACGATTTATCATTGCCACCGTCAAAGAAAAGATCAGTTACAAAAAGTTTGAATTCGGAACCTCAATTGGAAAAGGTTTCTAAGCTGGAATTTATGAATGACTCGAAAGAGGAAGAACGGGAAGGTTCTGTAGATTTGATAAGCGATGATGATGAAGATTTAATTGAAGCTGCAAAATTGGGAAAATACCTGAATGACGAAGACAACGACGACGACGACGACAATGATGACAATGATGAACATGACGACGACGACGACGATGATGACGATGATGATGATGATGGGGATGTGAATAAATACATGGATATTGAAGCAGAAGAAAGTACTGGTGAAGATCATGAGGATGATTATGTTGAAAATGATGAAGAGGATGAAGAGGATTATTCTGCAATAGTAGATCCTTTGCAAAAACTTCAGGATGACATGGATCAAGAAAACATGAAGGAATTACATGAAACAGAAGCTAATATCAAACAACCTGGATATAAAAATTCCTCAATTTATAAAGCTCCAACTAATGAAGAAATTCAGGGATTAAAAGAGATTTCTGGTTTATTCAAATCCAATATATTTAAACTTCAGGTATGTTAAATGGATTTTATTTGATTATTATTTAATAGTAAATTTTTATTAATTAATACTCTAATAGATATTTTTTACATAGATTGATGAACTTTTATCTGAAGTAAATCTTGATTATAACGCAACAACACGTTTGGAAAACGTCTTACATAAATTAAAACAAATACTTGAGAATATTAAAGATAAACCTGAGCTTACGGTAAATTAGAATTTATTATAAAAAAAAAAATTTTTTTTTTTTATTCTAAAATATTTTTGAAACTCATTGTTTTTACTTAAAAGATAACCGAAATCACGGCCAATATGTTAAAAGATCATAAGGTTGTGATTCCGTTTCCAGACCCACAACCTACAGATGATATAAAGATTAGATTTGGTTTTAAGAAACCGAGTGCTTTTTACATTGTTGGGAGTTATCCTCTGAAAACTGTGGCTCTTGGAAGAAACGGTTTTAACGTAGATGTGGCTGTTATATTACCTCAGGTAATTCTTCGGTATTTGATATTTTTATTTAATCCACTTTAACACTAAATTCATGATTATTATTTTAGTCATTATTTCAGGAAAAGGATTGTATGAACTATAGATATTTTTATAAGAGGTCATATTATCTTGCGGTATTGGCTGCTTCATTGCAAGAGAATAAATTAGGATTGAACGTAAATGTGGAATTTGGAACACTTGATGGCGACAATCGTCGCCCTATTCTAATACTAAAACCTTCCAGAGGTTAGCTTGCATCTTTAAAGTTTATATATCTAATAATATTAATATTTATGACCGAATCATTAAATGCAAGTTTTTTAATTAGATCACTCGGACACCGACTTTTCAAAGCTGAATTGTGTAATTAGAGTGTTGCCAAGTATTTCACCGGAAACATTTCCTTTAAGAAGGTTATCACCTTCACGTAACAACGTTCGTCCACACCATGATACAAATGATCCTCAAATTTCTGCTTCAAATCTTCCACCAACACCTCAATACAATAATGCAATTTTATCAGACATGTATTATGTAAAACATCTGCATGATCTTTATAAACAAACAAAGTTATGTAGTGCATTTGCGGATGCATGTAAACTGGCCAAAGTTTGGTTGAATCAGAGAGGATTTGGTGGGGATGAAGATGGTTCAAGTGGATTCAATGGATTTACTTGGTCAATGTTGACGAAATATTTGTTACATGCCGGAGGTCAAAATGGTGGAAAAAAACTGGCAAATGGGTTTAGTTCTTATCAATTAATGAAAGGAACTATGGATTATTTAGGTAAAATATATATATATATTATTATCATCATCATTATCACTTTAACATATTAACTCATTATTAATCTTTTTATAGCGAATCATGATTTTGTTAACAATCCTGTATTTATGGATAACAGTTCTAAACCTAATGAGGTATTTACTTATAATTCTTGACAAACCTGCGTCTGTTTGAGCCAGGAAAATCAAATGTTAATTTCACTGAATTTTTACTCCATACATATATTTAGTTTAGTGAGAATGTATTCAAAGACAATTTTGAAGTGGTATGTGTTGATAATTATGGAACTTTAAATTTATTTGGTAGAATGTCGAAAGCCGCTTTAGATCAGGTAAATTAATGATTACGCCAATATTTTATAATAAATATATTTTTATAATAATATCTGTTCTGTTAATTCAAATAGCTGCAACATGAGGCCGTTTTGGCGATGGAATATTTTAATGAACCTCACGTGGATAGATTTGAAGCTTTGTTCTTGAAAAGAGTTGATAATGTGAAATTAAGATATGATAACTTCGCAAGGTAATATTCTAATATTTCTGAAACCTTTTCCACAATTCAGGAATCTAACTTTGCCTTTTATATCAGAATAACACAAATCCCAAAATCATATAATGAATATAATAAAGTTGCCAAGTTGGATTTTCCTGATACTTTTGTACACTTTGCAAAGACAATACCAAGGTTACTTAAGCAAGGACTTACAAATAGGGTCAATTTAATCGCAGTCAATTATAACAAATTACCACCTTGGTCCACTTCTGAAAAACCGAAAACGTATGTTTCATCTAATACAAATCTTTATATTGGATTTATATTTAATCCTGATGAATCCAATCGACTTGTTGATTATGGTCCATCACCTGAAGATGAAATTGCAGCAGCAAAGTTTCGTAAATTATGGGGGAAGAAGGCAGAAGTTAGAAGATTTAAAGACGGAAGTATTCTCGAATGTGTTGTTTGGGATTCTAAACAAGGAATAGAATCAAGGAGTTTGGTTGTTAACCAAATTGTTTTACATTTGATGGAATTGCATTATAAAATTAAAGAGAACAAAGGAATACAATATTGGGCAGGACAACTAAATAAATTTGTTAGACCTTCTCGGGATATTCCAAAAAGAATTTGGAATCCAGACTTAAGCAATCAAGGGTTTCAACACGTTATGAGTGCATATGATAAATTGGTAAAGCAATTTTACGCGTTAGAAGATATACCTTTGAGAATTTCAAGTATTAAAGGATCGAGTCCTTCACTTCGATATTCCTCCGTGTTTATACCTCAACCAATTCACCAGAAATTAAAGGATTTTGATGATGCGCTTCAATCCCATTATAACGAACCTATTGATATAATTATACAGTTTGAATATTCAGCAAAATGGCCTGATGATCTCGTTGCTATACAGAAAATGAAGATAGCATTCTATATTTGTTTATCGAATCAATTTCGAAAACAATTTCCCGAAACAAAAACAAAAGTTGTCGCTACATCGAATTTAAATGCGATAATATCAACTAATACATTTTTAGAAATTTATTTTACCGCCACAAGATTTACGTTTAGATGTTTTATACATCATGAACGTGAATTGATTCTATTGGACCGTAGTATAAAAGATAAAAATTCCACACCGGCAAAACGAGACCTTTATACGAAAGCTTTATCTCGTTTAAGAAGGAAATTTCTTGACTTACCCTTACATAATACGCAAATACAAACATTATGTAATAAACACCCTTCACTTTCTTTAACTATTAGATTAACTAAAAGATGGTTTAGTGCACATTTATTAACATCAATGCATATTGATGAAGAATTTATTGAGGTGCTATGTGCTGTGATTTATTTAAATCCTAATCCTTGGAGAAGACCTTCGAGCGGATTTGTGGGATTTCTGAGAGTTTTGGAATTCATAATTGAATGGGATTGGAAAAATGATCCTGTTATTGTCGATTTAGACGAATCAAATAATAGCAAAGAAGGAAGTGTCGTAATTGGTACTTCTAGTACAAATGCAATTGAGGACGGAACAAATGTCAGTGATGAGACGACAAAGAAAAGCGTTTTTGAGAAACTTTTAGAAAAGTTTAAGAATAAGAGAAGGGCGAATGGAAATTATAAACATTCAACGATGTTTTTGGCTACTATCAATACAATATCAAATGAAGGCGTAATATGGGGAGAGGAGAAACCTAGTAAAGTTGTGGCTATTAGAATTAAGGAGTTAGCTAAAGCTGCAATTGAATGCGTCGATGAAATTATTAAAGGAAAAGTAGTAGATGATAACGGATTCAAGGTAATTTATATATAGATATTATTTGTTCGATTTGAATTCTCTTCAGACTTTCATCTTTTTTTCTTTTTTTTTCCGAATCTTTATAGAGATTATTTGTTACGCCATTACAAGATTATGACGTGATAATACATTTGAATCCGAGTGTGTGCACGCGTTATTACCAAAATTTAGATCCCGACAAATCCTATTTTATAAGAGATAATGATCGTAGAGAAAATGAAAAACGTGAAGAAATTTTAAAACTTTTTGAATTGGAAGCAGGAATAAGTGAGAGAAAGAATATCGAAGTAGATGATGAAGAAAAAAGTGAAAAGTCAAGTGAGGAAGATGAGTCGGAGGAAAAATGGCCATTAATTGGATTTGATCCAGTGGAATGTTATATAAATGAACTAGAGAAGATTTATTCAGATACATCATCATTATTATTCTTTTATGATAAATATGGTGGTACCTTTATCGGCGTAGTATGGAACCCCACAAATTTTATTCCTAAACCATGGAAAGTCAACATTGGATTTTCTAGTATTCCTGTCGATCTAATATCAAATGAAGAAAGGGAGAAGGTTAGTACCTTAATATCATTTTCAGTTTTAAGAAAATTTTTTTTTATAAATGTGTAACACGTCTTTAAAATATTGCATAGATTTTAATAAAGAAGGATGATCCCAAAAAAAAACCAACCCAAAATGGTGAAAAAAATTATTCTAACAAGGTTATTATAAATACTAAAGCGATTGTATTAGAAATAGAAAGATTAGGTAATGGATTAGTTAAGAGAGTGGAATTTAAAAAATAATTTCTTTTAATGTATTTTTGCCACTTTCAGATGTGGTCTACACCTTCTTTGCAATTATAGTCGTAATAAAAATATTTATTTTTTTTTTATAATAAATATACAGTTGAGATTTATTACAAAAGTTTTCTATTATTCTATTCCTATTATTCTCATAAATTAGATATTATTTTTGTTACATTAAATAATAAATTGATTTTTATATACTAATTAAATTAAATTATTATTATCATTATCATCATCATTATTATTAAAATTTACAAATAAATACATATTATACGCTTAATCCATCCAACATTAAAGAACATATTTCAAGTGGCTCTGTAAAATTCCTTGATGCCTCAACTCTAATATAATTGAAAAGTTGTTTGGTCTTTGCAATATCGGGACAATTAAATTTCAATGTAATCCGAGTAAAAGTATAACCAATACTATCAGAATGAATTCCGGTACATTTTAGCTAAAGGTAAAAAAAAAAAAAAAATTGTTAATAAAGTTTGGTATATATTATTTAACTTATCAAAAAATATTTTTTTACCCATTCATTTCCATCAAGGGAAACTAGGATGTTGAAAGACGCGTCAAAATTCCTGATATCTTTTGTTGATACAATTGTGATCTTTTCGGAAAATATGGGTTCAACGAATTGTAATCCAAAATAATCACCAATCTTTGGAACTATAAAATTGAAAAAGGTATAAATGACCAATTTTTTATTAAAAAAAAAAAAGTTACCAAAACTTACTTTTGAATGAATTCCAGCATGTCCTTTCATTCAAATCAACAGCGTGATGATAAGCATGATTTTCCCAAAAAGAATTTTCAGGAAAATCCAGTTCGTTAAATTTTGCTTCTTGATCATGAACATGAGTAATATTATTTGCGTAATAAACTCGAGATGGATGAGGAAATGGATCGATGTTTGTTAAAAAAAGACAATTATCATTTAAACATGGAGCTCTAATGATGAAAAAAATTATTTAAAATGAATGACAAGAATCAAAAAACAAATCGATTCATTTAAAAAATTTAATTTCATAACATACCTAGTATCTCTGTCATTATAATAGGGTTGCTCTTCTTCAGGAGCGAAAAGTTCCGAACCAGATTTTACGGCCAATGCTGTATATAGCTTTTGAGTTGCATCTAGCTATTTTAATTAATTTACTGCAAAAATTAAAAAAGAATTCTTCCTTTTTCATGAACAATACGCCGACCAACTTACGATATTATTGTAAAATAAATTCCATTGATCCACATTCCATTGATTCACACCGGCTTTCCAACCATCCTTTTTGTCTAAAGTTATTAACGGATTTGATAGCTGATATGGGTATTGATTAGTCCATAAAGAAAAATACACGTCTGCAAATTTTAATCTATCTTTCATTAAAGATATCGAACCAAGTTGACCTAAAAATCTTTGAACTTTTGCACGTGATGCAAAGGAACCACATCCAAGCCGCGTAAATCCAGTATGAAGATTTTTATCTGAATTTGCAAACATCCACCTTTTGTGTTCCAAATAATTAATTGGCATTGTATTTGAGTGAATTAAACTTGGATTATTAAGGAAATTTGTATATAAACTGTCCATATATAAATTTAACCAATTATAATCCTGAAAATAACAATAATCATATTTGGCCATTGAACACGTTGTATATTTTGAAAGATCATGAAGATTTTTTTCAGAATTAAACACATTCAACGTTACTTCACTATTGTTAAGAATAAAATCCTGGAAAAAAAAAAAAAAAGTTTAAAAATTTTGAATGGTTTAAAGAGAAGCTTTATCATTTAAAAAAGTTACCTTGGCATAAATTCTCATTTTATTATTATTATTCCATATAAGAATCTCCTTTATGAATGGATATTTTGAAATATAATTTACTACTATTTGCAGACTCTCCATTCTTTTCCAACCCAATAATACTGCTGTCACTGGGATCATCCCATTTTTGTTTAAAGCAACCTCTGTAAATTGTTCTTTTTTAAATAAACTAAATCGTCCGTCAATGACTTCTTTTATATCTATTTGCCACATTGGTTGCGTAGGCTCGGTATTTTGTTTCTCGGCATTTGCTGAGTCACTAAGAATTATACTCGATTCGGATTCAACCAAAGGCTTTATTAATGTAATCCATATTGTCGTACCCAACAACAAGCCAACAAGCGTTAGTCTAATAATGTTATTTCTACGACTAATAAAACGACTATAAATTGGTGCTTGATTTCGATATTGTGGTAAACTTGTTTGATCTGTATCAAACATGTTTTTGTAATAATTTTTTCCGACTAATGCTTTAACAAAGATCCTTTTTAATGTTAAAATGTAGAGATGTTACACGAAATAAATTACTTGATAAAAAAGGAAACCCAGATTAAGTTTTCACGTGACATGGAATACCAGAACGCATTTCTCTAATCTTGAACTTATTTTTTTATTTAAAACAATGCAACAATGCATCCAAATTTAGCACTTCACAAACATCCAAGTAAGTAACTTAAATTAATACAATAATGTTATAATTTAATTTTAATCTAATGCCAATAAAAATTTAGAATGCGTTGATATTATTCTTCGATTAGATGAATGTCACAAATCAGGATTTTTTAAAAAATATTTTGGAGGTTGTAATGGACTTAAAAAAGAATTAAATGAATGTTTAACATTAGAGGTGATCAAATTTCACTTTCAAAAAGATTTTTTTTTTTTTTTTATGAGATGATTAATCTCTTTCCTTAATAAATTGTAGTTTAATGAGATAAGAAAGAAAAATGCTGATAAAGCTAAAGAACAGAGAAAAAAAGTTGAAGAATTATGGAAGGAATTTAAAGAATAAATTAGTGATTTTATTAATCATGTATGTAACTTGTTTCAATTTATGGAAGTAGAAAATGTATTTTCTTTACAAGAACTTGAAAGCGATTGAATTAATTATCTTGAAATTTTACATAGTTTTTCCTATAATTCCATCATCTTGCATTTTTTTAACATCAACTTCTTTTAATCCTAAAAGGTTTATAAAAACTTCATGATTATGTTCGCCTAAATCAGATCCGGCCCACATAGTTTCGCCAGGTGTGGATTCAAGCTTTGGTGATAAAGCAGGAACCTAAAATATTATAAATAAATGAATCTTTTCTCATTATGCAAATACAACATAAAAAAAAATATATAAATTTTTTTTTACGTACCTTTAAGTCATAACCGCCATCACTTTTATTTTTACCAACGTGAGTAATTTCAATTACATTACGTTCTTTAACATGATCATCATTAACAATATCTTCAATATTATAAATACTACCACATGGCACATTAACTTTTTCTAATTTTTCCAACACTTGTTTCGACGTAAGAGTTTTTGTCCAATCACTAATTGCTTCATCAATTA